TCAGTATAAATTTAGGAAGTAAATGGTATTTTCCATAATCGTATTGTCGTAGGCGTGAAATCAGGTGGGGAAATACCACTTGTTATTTAATCTACGTCTACGTCCTAAGTCGAACCACACTAACTAATCACCATTTCTCAGTCTCCCAACGGCGTCCGCAGAACTGCATCCTTTCCACGTCCCCTTTGGAAACAATACCAAGTGTAGCGAACTCAAGTGGAGAAACCCTGATAAACTCAGAGAGGAAGATTTCACCAAATTAAATGTTTTATTTTTATGCTTTTGATTTCGAGAATTTCTCTTAGAGCTTAACAGCCCACACAAAATAAAACTACTAATAAATTAAGTGATGTATAGTTGAGGAAAATGTTAACATGACAGTAAATAGTGAGTTCAAATACGTTGTATATTGCTTATAAAATTAAGCGTTTATGTTATCTTATTCACAGAGAGCTTAGTCGGCGATTCAAACAATTACTTTGTAAGGAACATATTCTGAAATCCCTCTTCCAGTCCTCATTATCTACATTCTGCTTGAATTTCATGTTATCCGAAATATTACAGTTAAGTGAACAAGAACAGAGAAGGAATTTATGCAAATCGATTTATCAAGTACGCGTAACTGAAAAACTGTGATACACCCACCTAGTGTACGGTATTTGCTCTCCTGTAAGTTTCTTCATATATCAGATCTCCAATCAATGTTGGACAAATAAAGTCTAGTTAATTCCCGACTGTCCATTGATTACCTCTTTAAGTATTACTATTTAACTATAACTGTTTAAAGTATTCTTCAGAACTAATGACCTCAGTCATGTTGGTCCCTGTTACAATCAACTGTCTCAACAATGCTTTCTTTGTTTATTTAATAGAATTCTAAACATACACTCCCGCTATTTTGTATGGAGCAGGAACTATTATAGTCCACTGACTAACCAATGCATACGTTTTCGTTTGTGGGTGATTCTCACTACCATTACATGACTTCAGAGTTTTGCAATTCAATCAAAAAAGACTAGGTGTAGAAAAAACAAAGAATGAGAGGAGCTAACCACTATTCAAATGTCTTTTGCCTAAACACACATCTCTGTGATCGACAAATTTCCACTGTACACCATTACATGGTCAACAATCTTCTAAGATCATGTATAAGCGTAAGTTAAGATATATCATGAGTTGGTGAAATCGAAAGCCTTCGTAAACTACTAAGGAATCCGACTTAGTAGAACGCTCAACCTTATAGAATTCACGACAATGAAACATGATTATGGAGTATTAATTATCGTGATGATGGTTTTTGAGTTGGACCTTTTCGTACACATTTCGTATGGCCTTTGGTTTCTCTGCAGAAATAATACCACACTTATTTTCTTGTTCACTGATATTCACGAAAAGAGATCGTGTGAGCGTCCGATCGCTGATTTTCTCTTCTGAACTACATTTCTTTAACTTTTCAATACATATTAATGCTTAACTTTACAATTATACATTATTTGCCTCCCTCGTTTGTTTGGCTTTGGATAACTTCGGAAAACTCCAGTATTAGGCAATATCAGACTTTCGTTAACCGTCTGCTGTGCTTAGTGAAAATATTTTCATCATCAGGTTACGATAACCCATTTCATGAAAACAAATCGAGAAAGTTTGTCATTAATAATAATACCCTAATGACCAAAGCGCAGTAAAATAACAATTGATTTGAAGAATTCAGTTCGCTTCGGATAGTTTTTTTCAATGTCATTTATGATAGAGTTCTAAAGTAAGCTTATGAATAAAAATATCTGGTCGAAAATCATCAACAGCTGACTCCATTTCAGTAGTGACATTAATTTTAGAAGAGTCATTTTACTTCTTACTGCAGTCACATAACTACTTAATCATTAGTCTTTGATCATTCATGTATGTCAGATACGATAAAACACTAATTAGTCATGGTTCCTTTAGAAATATTTGAATAACTATTTCATCCTAGAATATCTCTCCAAAGTTTCGTTACTTCCTTTGGCTATCAAGCTATCAGGTCATGATTTACACTGTCTTCCATTTGAATAACTTATATATATATATATATTATATATATATATATATATTTCACATTATTGCAGTAGCTTGTTTCATTTCGTTGTATATTGGTTATAAAATTAAGGGTTTATGTTATCTTATTCACCATGCAGTTGAAATCAATCAGTCGTACATATCCACAATCAACTGCCGGTCAACCTGTCAAACTGAGATTCGATGTCGATTCAGGTGTGTTTTATTATGCTTTTGTACCCACACAGAAGTATTGTGCAAATGTGGATGCAGCATTGTTAGTTGCAGAGATTTTTGTTCCAATGTCGATTCATTATCCATATGGAGTGAGAACTCGTTTTGTACCAGAACAATTATATTATAAAATTTATGAAAATAATACTAATCTAATGTTTGTCTATGCACCATGTACGTTGATCAACAAAAATATTGAACATATGGAAATAACGATCAAACCAAAACAAACAAAAGATGAGCATTCAGACAACAATTATACTCTAAATAAAAATAATAATGACACCAACAATTATACTCGTTTACCAACTTATTCGAAATCTGTATCAATATTGTTAATTGTGAACTCCTTGATATTTTCACATCTTTCAACATATTTTGACTAAACTAAAGAAATATCACATGATAAAATTTGAATCATTACTGTAATACACCTAGACTACAATAAACTGCATGCGTTGCGTCAAATAACACATTAATCATTTTGTTCATTGACCAATCACATATTACATTTATGACTGAATCTTAAGAAATCGTGAAAAAGCAGACGTTCAATGTTCTCCATTTTCCAGTGATTATCATAACATTTACATTCAAGCGATTATGATGTATAGTTGAAATATTTAGAAAATTTCAAATACCACAAAAATAAAATATTTTTCATTTCGTTTCCAATACCTTAATATTCTATATAGTTGACATGTTTCAAATTTCCCTATTCATTAAATTCTCAATTGGCAATGTGGTATTCTGTAGATATGCTCATAAAATAGTCATATATTTTCTATGAAACATAAAAGTCTGTATATATTGTTGTTCCAAAAGTACTTAAGTATGAATTATATGTATTAATCAACAAACAGATTGATAATTTTAATTCCTTATCAAGTCGTAACACAAGATTCGTTCATAAAGGTTTTTTATTGTTATAGAAATATAAGACGTTGTTAAATTTCTTCTATTAAGCACTTGATTCATTCAAACAGCAAGAAATAGCTACCCATACAGTACCCATCTATTGCCACTCGTAACTCACGGTAGAAGATGAAAGTAACTGTTAACTGTATTGAAGTATAAAATCACTCAATTGATATACGCGCAAAATCGAAGTTCACGAATCAACGATTTATCAGAGATGGGGGTTCTTTATTGAATAATGTACGAACATTAGTTACACACCTCAACTTGTGAGGTGTCTGAGGCGTTTACCATGTCCTTTTGTCTGAAATAAGAAGGCTTTGATAGTGCAAAAGTGACAGCCGTTGGCTGTGTCATAACTTCATAACGGTTTATTAACAAGCACAAACTGAACTAAGAGCAAGTAATATGGAAACTGCTGCGTTTAAACAAGGGTTAAACGACTGCGAGAAATTGCGAACAACTGATACAATGATTGATATAAGTAATTATAATGATAAATACAATAAATGTTATAAGAATATGTAAATATTTCAGAGTATTACACGACCAACTTGCGGTACAACATAAGCGTATAAATTGCTAGGAATACTTCTATTTACTAAATACTGAAAAATAATACGTAAAAGATTCGAAATGAAGTGAAGTGAATAAGAATAGAGAATTTAAGACAGAATTAACAGTAACAGTTTATTCAAAGTAAACATACTTTTATTTCTTGGCTCAGATAAAATAGGATGATTCACCTTTTGAAACAAATAATACCAGCTTTTGAAGTTATTTCTGTGATTTAGAAATCTTCGGAATAAAGAGATCTGATCGAATTTCTGTATTCTTTGTACAGTACAGTAGTTAACCAATTAACACTAATCCGTAGCTCATTAGGATGCTCATTAATAACGATTGTATTTGATCGATAATTTGTAGACATTGCTTGAAATTTCAGCTTCAAATTACCTGTAACAAATTAAGCAACTACTGAAAATAGAATGATTAGCTAACTATTAATTATTAGAAATTTAACAGATTGAAATCATGATTCAGTTGAAGCTAGAACACCATTGAAAACCTGGAATAACTGGACGGACGTTTCATCCTGGTATGGGACTCCTCAGCAGTGCGCATCCACGGTTCCGCACCACGCGGGATGCCGGCTCAGCGGTCTAGTGGTTAAGTGCGCGCGCGCGAAGCAAGTAGGTCCTCGGTTCGAGCCCCGTGTGGTGCGGGATCGTGGATGCGCACTGCTGGGGACTCCCATACTAGGACGAAACGGCCGTCCAGTGATTCCAGGTTTTCAATGGTGGTCTAGCTTCAACTGACTCGTGACTTCAATCTGTGGAATTTCTAAAATTCTCTACAAAACTCATTTTGATATTAATTTTTAAGTAACTTTGATCCAATGATAGTCTGATAATTTATTCAGAAACAGCCCTTAAACCCTCAAGGATACTGTGACATAATATAAGACCAATTAGACCAATCTAATAAATTATTCATAGTAAACTGCAACCATTTATAGTTGTTTTTGTTAACTTAAATATTTAATATATACCATATTTATCTTCAGTCCCATCAGTGATTATAAAGTTACATGTACATAATCTTTACGCTCATACTATCAAATCGTAGATACGGATTATTCAAATTTACTGTCTCACAAAATATCCTAAAAATTGAGTTTTAGATAATGTCAGACAAAAATACTTGGCAATAAATTACTGAATACATGTTTATCGTTTAATTTAATATTCGCTGTCGATCACTAATCTATTACATTGTACTTGTGATTTCAAACGGAATTTTTATTCACTTAGATGAGATCGACAAGATCTTCAAAGCAACATAAACTTCTTGGAGGCTTTATGAACGTTCCAGTTGATGCACTCTTACGTTTGTCATGGATAATGATATTACTACCAAAATTCTTCCATTCAGAAGCTCATGCAAAAGTCACTATTGACGATGATACTGGTTACTTTGTTGATTCACAAGGATTTATTAAATTATTTCATGGAATCAACTGTGTGCACAAATTCGCACCATTTTACTTTCCAAAACTACTTGACCCTCATTCATTCAGAGTACTTAGAGATTGGGGAATTAATGTTATACGCTTAGAATTCAACTGGATAGCATTAAAACCACAGGAAAACGAAATCAGTCAACACTACTTAGATATCATTGAAACGATTATCGACAATGCTGGATTATATGGAGTATATGTTATCATTGATTTTCATCAAGATGGATTATCGAAACGTCTAGGTGCAATTGATGCTGTGCCTAATTGGTTTATGGATAAAATAAAGCGACCACAATATTTATTTCAATACCCTTGGCCACTTAAGAAAGATCCGGGTAAAGATGACTGGTTTCTAACCTACGTCACATATGAGAGTGCACATGTATTTGAAAGTATATATAAAAATGTTTCAGGAATATGGAATTATTTTGCAGAATATTGGACGATAACAACTAGTCGTTTTGGGAAGAAAGATAATGTCTTAGGTTATAATTTGATAAATGAACCAGCACCTGGAAATGTTTATAAAAATCCATTCCTTCTTTTGCCTAGTAAGTGACAAGTATGCAAGATTTTATTAGTATTGTTTTTGAACATTTTTTATCATATTGCTTTATTCATTATTTCATGTCTTTTGACTTGATTGAAGATTTTGTTTTCACTTGCAAAGAATTCATTCAAATCAATTGATTCTGAAGTCGTTGGATGTTTATTGATTTCTAAATCAATCAGGTTTTGACTTGTCTGCTCTTTAGCAGCCTTTCCACTAAAATTATCATCTTAAATCTCAATGAAAATAAATAACGTCAATATGCACATCAGTGTGCATATTTTCACTTTTAAAAGTGCACATGGTTTTGTGATAAACTAATACAGAAATATGTTTCAAGAGTATTTTGATAACTTCATGTCGTATCACCTTTGCAATAAGTTTACATAACAAGATCGGTGTCATTCAATTAGTTTACACATATCTTTTATATCAAGGTCAATTTAATAAATATCATTAAATATTATTTTCACTAAGTGAATTTTTCTGCAGGAATCGGTACTCGCTTTTCTTCATGTATTTTAAGGAATGAAAGTAGCTCAAAGTATTCAATCAGTCAGATGGTTTTCAATCCACTCTCTTTGTTCACATGTTGCTGAGATAGTTAATGTTAGAAGTAACTAAGTTCTCACTATTTGTTTTCTATGAATTCTTCACCTAAGTCAAATGTTCAGGTTTTAGCTAAACTAAGGATAGAAACCTTATTCAGAAAGCTTAACGTTTAATTATAACAATTATTTATAACATATTGGAAAGAAATTACAGCTTCATTCTGCGATAGATTCTGTCCGATTTTATGACTGAATAATGACTTTCATGTAAAATGATTTCAAGGAATATACAGAAGCTTATCAGTAAAGTTAAAATACCACTTGTTAATGAACTAGTCTATTAAAATGATTCTATATTGCAATAATTCAGCAATAATGAAAAAGAGAAATTGTTGGCTAACGTTTCATTGTTTAGAAACCTGTTCGGGAAAAGATTTCACAACTGAACCATTCGAATGTTTAGAAAGGAGATGAATACAGTTACAGTTTATGAATAGAGGTTTTTTCAACCCGTTTTATGGTGAATTTTTAACTTCACATTCTATAACTATTCATATTCCACTAATATATATCTCTATCAAATATTACTAGTAATACAGTAAGTTCGTTTGCCGAAGTAAGACAACTAATTACTACCACTCTGAGACTTACCTAAATATGAATTTTGCGAAAACACAAGCACGGAATGTTGAACGAATTTGAACACAAAATTACAGAACTTCTTAGTAAAATCTGAGAACCGTATAGTAAATATTTAATTTCCAAATATCAATCAACAGCCTCAGACTTCATTGTTCTTTCGTTTCCACACTTATCATTCTCTGCTCTCGTTCTCATTTCCTCAATCTCCTTAACCCTCTGTTGCCAGACATTTCACTTTCGACTGATGTGCATACTACCTATATATGTCAACATCAGTATCACAGGAAACAACATAAATTTACACTTGAATAATTAGTAATTTTAAATAGATTTGAAATAAATGTGATCAAAAAATGAATTATTTAGTTTCCTTGTCACCTATTTTGTCCAAATTATTCAGTGTTCCCTTTCACATAAATGTAACTCTGTGACCAACAAATTAAGAAATAGTATGCACATTTAGTGAATGAAATATTTGCCCTCAAAGGTATATCAGCACATTCATGATTTAAACAAGATAGAGTCTAATAAATAACATCATTGCACAAACTGGTATATTGTTTGCAAGTATTTGATCCATTTCCAGAAAAAATAAAACTCAAGTTTGTGGTGTAGTCGTTAGATATTCATGATGATGTGAAATATGTTTTAAAGTTCTAAATCATACTATACATTTTTCACAGTCCATGTTTATCTTCGAGCTTTCACGGACTGAAATCAGATGCGTTGGTCAAACGTTTTTTTAAAAAAATGAGAAAGTAGTTGAAATACTTGCTCAAAAAATAAAAATTAGTAAAACAATCTACCTTTCAGAGTGTTTCCTGGAACGAATGCCGCTTACATATTTGTAAGTAAAATTTCAAGCTAACAAAATAATCCATTTTCGTAGTGGTTATTTGAATCTTCCGAATGATGTTCAAGACTGTAATCGATCAGTCTCTTATTCATATATGTGGATCCTATGTGGATCCTGCCGAGAGTCACAAGCAGGTATATCCAGCTGACGAGTCTCAAGAAGAATGAAATGCGCGTCGTGAATTCCACATCACATTAGTAAATGGATGTTGGTGATCAGTAATTCCGATAATGAAACATAGTAAGCAATAGAAAGTAAAGTACATCTGAAATTGAACTAACGTTAAAAAGCATTATACTTACAATTCATAGCATGCCAATCTCATAAAACCATTCAATGATGTAGTACAAAACATTTTCATGTCTTTTTTCATCTTATATTGCAATCACATTTTTAATATTAAACATTAATCTGTGGTTAATATGTTAGTAAAAGTGAGTTACTTCATCTTATGTAATTCTTATGTGTGAATGTCATTGAATTGTCTAAGTGTTACATAACTTGACAATTAGGCTTTGAGTTGTGTAAACGCATTACATGATATTTATTATAAGATTGTTTGATGCATTTTATTTAGTGATATCGAATCAAGTTCGATGCTGGTTGACATTTATAGTGAAGAAGAGCCTATAAAGCAGAGACAACTATTTCATTAAACGGAATATACCCACTGAGACATAAAATAAGAAAAGAGAACTCTTCGTTAACTATTTCATTAACGTAGTTTTAAAATCAACTCATCATATCAATCCAGCGTATGCATAGAATCTTTCATTTAACAGGAGAATGATATGATCTAGTAAGCTTGTAATCCATTCTTATTCTGATACTTGGACAGCATGACACACTTAAATGATGTTTAGGCATATGGCCAGTCAATTGGTTTCAAATTATCAATTTATTATTACGTTAATTCAAGTATTTCAAAGACAATGGTGAAAATATACAGTCGGACATGCATACTATCTGAATAACGATAACTTTAACATTCGTATAAGCCTTGCTATTCAAAACAATCCTATAACCTTTACTACAATTCGAAATAAACCATATTTCACCTTTTCTATATTGTATGGTGCTTGTCTTAATTTTTTAAACTACATGTTATTGTTAAACTACAAGCCTCATTTTATTTAGTGTTGCCATCATCCCTTAGTCAAAGTTATATTCAGTGAGACCATTTAAATTGAATAGAACAACTATTTGGAAACACAAGACAGTAATCAAAATATATCTGCAACATTCATAATTGACAGAGATAATATATTACAAATTCTCTCCTAATACATAAGTGAACAACGAATGTTCTGAATAGCTCGATCTCAACTATTCACTCACACAGTAATAAGAAATTTTATTTACTTGTTCCATATTAATTGAAGCTGCAATCCGAACACGATTAGCTGATCATTTCCTGTCAATTCTATTGTATATTATGATTCTTTCCACTGATTTTGTTGCAGCTGCGATTGTCTTATGTTTCAGGGCGTTTGGCATGTCAATGATTGGAACTGATTTATTAGCAAACTATTTATGCTTAATATGACCGTTTGTTTCATGCAAATCCATGAAAAATAAACACACACTTCAAACACAAATGATTGGACAATACTCCCAATACACAGTAGATGACATTTGAATACTGAGTCTACTCACAAGATTTCAATTTAAATAGATGCTTATGAAGCTGGTTTGTTTTCAGAAGGCATTTGTATTCATTTACTTATCTATGTACATAGAATCATAAAAGTTTTCTAAGTGACATACCTAAATAATAATTATCTCAGGTAGGTCAGTAATAGGATTTGAGAAGATAACGAACAAAGGATTGATTCGATAGAATTATTTTAAGAATTATCGGTTACGTTCAACTACGCTGGATAATTTCCAACGTGTATTACGTTTCTCGATAACACCAGAATGCGTTACGTAATCACATTTCAATTCATTTGATCATAATCTTCAATATGTACATCGATATCCATGAATAAATAAAAGATTTTACAAATATAGTTCTGTGTGTAAGATATACATATTTCACTAACAAGGACTACTCAATAATTCTTCCTCCACTCACATATTCAACCAATAAACTTCTTCAATTTTGACTACCGTGACCACAACACTTTGTACATGATACTTGTACACGATTAAATCACAGTCTTCATCTAAGCGTCTTTCCACCATCAGTAAATGGAAAGTGGCTGTGATTAACATTTACTACTACCACACACCATAACGTGTAGAACAATATAAATCAGGCGAACTGAAATCAATTCTCTCCATTACATGATATGCATTATTCTTCTTTTAAACAGTAAAAGTGTGAGTTCACAGAAATTTAAAGATGAATTCTACCTAAATATGCAGTTCAATTCATTTGATTCAGCCACATTTTGATATTGATAAATTTCTACCTAATATCCCAATGCTAAATATTAACTTATCATTGGATTTTAGGTTGCACTGGTCGCTCTCGATATAGGTGCTGACATAATATTATTTCGAGTGAGTAACATTCACTTATGTATTGATATACAGAGCATAACTAGTCTTCCTAATTGATCAACTGTAAAATCAGTCGCTTTACTTTCATGTATGAAACACAAATTTGGAATGATTGAAGAATTCGCCACTATCTTCATATAATCTCTTTTACATTGATTTATCAAATAATTTATATTTGGTAGGCATTGTAGATTTGAGCATTACCATCAATGAGACGAATAGCACACCGTGTTGGTAGTTTTACTGTTTACAAGGAGATAAATGTGACCCTTTTGAAACTAAATTTGTGTTCAAGTACAAATGGATTTACAATAAGATTTCTCACTCAGACATTTCCAATCTTTCAATTTTGTTCCATCTGTAATAAATTATTCGTTGAACAAAATCATTTCTGTGAATTATTATGTTTTTATACCAGCTACTGGAAAACTAACAAGTAGTATA